AGAAGATATGTCATTGATTCATATATATAGAAAGATATATGAGAGATATGGTTATAAGCTGTTATGGATCGGTATATGTATATCCGAACAACACTCTCAACAGCAATATCTTAAAACCCTGAGTTTCTGGTCTCTAACTAACTCTTGTTTTACCTTTTTTTTCTCTATATTCGCTGCATGTAACTATGCTGCTCTTAGTCTTCTCTTACTTCCTACGGTATTTAATCTTTTTTCTTTTAAAATAATAATGGACAGAAGCCAAGATCAATTCTAAGCCTTTTTTTTTCTTCTCAAATGAATATTAAAAAATACAAAAAAAAAGTAATCAAATTAACATAAAGAAAAGTATTTTTGTTTTATTGGATAATAATAATAATAAAAATTAAGATGAGTGTGACTTATAAACAGTTCCTCTTTTGGCCAAACCTGCCATGTAGCACATTCAAGCATCTATTGTCGAAATGTTTGCAGCGAATAAATGGAACTGAGAAATTACTAACTCTTGAGATAAACTTTTTCGGTATATCTCAACAAGACTCGCGCGAATATCTCAAAACCCATAGTCCCTTAGTTTGTGAAGTGTCGTAACTCGATTCATCTCTGAGCACGAAACTTTCGGGACCTCAAACGCCGAGTTTTTACTTATTTTCTCTCCGTTCCTTGCATGTAACTCGGCCCTTATTTTTTTTTTTTTATTTAGTTCTTTTAAAATAATTTTAACATTTTACGTGCAATAGATAGAACCCAACTCTATGTTAGTCAAGTTTTTTTTTTTCTTTCCAAATTAATATTAAATAATCAAATTACACCAACAGAGCAGCGTGACAAACAGGTATAAGGTGTCAACAATGGGCTTTTTTTTTGCCAGTTTAAAACTTTAAATAAAATAAAAAAATTAAAATTAAAAGAACAAATTATTTAAATAATAAGTTATCAAAAATACATATTTTTTTGTCAGCAAGAATACAAATAAAACATGATGGCCCAAGCCGTTTTTGATGCAAACAAAAAAATGTTGAAGCCCAAGGCGTTTTGTGGTGTCTTTTAATGCACAAAAAATGTCTGAAATTCTAGACGGTTTTTCTGTATTTAAAATTTAAAAATATAATAGAAATGGTAGGCGTTTTATTTGTTTTGAAAAAAGAACACAAAAATAAGCCACGCAGTGTTGTGGAATCCGGGGGTCAGGTTTGCACGAACAGCACTAGGCCGAGAGTCGGGTTTATTTATTATACCTAGAGTTTTTGTTCTATTTTTTCTCTTTTGCTGGATATTCTATTCAATATTACGAAGGGTGTCCAAAAACCATTTTTAATTATTAAAATTAAGACTTTTTAATATGCTACACGGACACGAGATGAGATTGGAGTGTATATCCACAAATCAGACACATTTCCATCCACGAACACCCACAAAATTGACTGTCTTCATCGCAGACACCTACAAATGAATATATTTCACTATTCGATATGCAAATTCAAGATTTTTTTTTAAAAAAATAATGAATCTCGATAAAAATAAAAAATAAAGAAGGAATAATTTAAGATTTATTTTTTAAAATGAAGAAGAATAAACCTCGATAAAAATATAAACAAAAAAGAAAGAATTTGAAGATTTCTTTTTTAAAAAAATCTAAAAAAGATAAAAATAAAGAAGAGAGCATTTGAAATTTTTTTATAAAATAAAAAAATCTTTATAAAAACAAAAACAAGGAAGAGAGATATTCTGATCTTTCCTTACTTAACTTTCATGTAATATAAAAGAAAGTCTTAATAAAAATAGAAATAATAAAGGAAAGATTCGAGATTTAAAAAAAAATCATTATAAAATATAATGTCTCTTAATAATTTATTTTTGAGACTTAGTAATATTATCATGTTAATATATAATTTTTTTATCATATTATTTATATTATTATATATATATATATGTCATATTATTTATATTATATATTATATATATGTCGTATTCACGTTATGTTATTTTTATTTATTTTGCCATATTCTCGATCTCTATGTCGTGTCTTTGTGTCATGTCCAATTTTGTGTTACATAATATTTAATCTTTCACAATCGACTACAACACGACAACTACCCAGCGTATGTTTGGGAAATCGTTTCAAATAACGTACTAATCTTTTCCACTTTCTAATGCTAAAAAGTAGAAGTAAGGAGATGCTTGTTTTATGTTTACTAATCTTTTTCACTTTCTAATGCTAAAAAGTAGAAGTACTTGCTTTATGTTTACTAATCTTTTCCACTTTCTAATGCTAAAAAGTAGAAGTAAGGAGATACTTGACTTGCTTTAAGTTAATGCAATGTTTCAAAACCCGCGTCAAACCGGTCGTTCAAACCAGTTGAATCGTGAATCGGTAGTGTAGCCGGTCCGAATCTTAAGTTAGATTGATTATGCATTCGACCTGTTTTAAATCAGATTGAACCGGTCAATTTTTTGGTTCGACCAGTGAACTGGTGAATCAAACCGGTTCAACCACAAATTTTTTTTTATTCTTTTAAGGAACATAAACCACAAAAATAACAATAAGAATTGAATTTACTAATGGAAGAGCAAAGAGTCTTATTAAACATAAAAATGACTACTTATTCTAATGTATTTATTTGTAATATATGCAACTTAAATAACTTTTAAAATAACTTTTATAGTATATTATTAATTTTATATTATATATTTAATAATATAATATCTATGTAGATATTACATATATTATTTTGTGATATCAATTGTAAGCATATTATATATGTACATATTATTTATATTTTTTATTTGTATTAATATACAATTTAACATGTAATTTTTCTATGCATTTCTTTATATAAAATAAAAATAAAGATAATTTTAAATAAGATGAAAATTAAAATTTAAAATAAGATATGGATTTATTGAAATTTATAAGTATAAAATATATTTAACATAAATATTTTTTTAAAAAAAATTAACAAAAACTGGGTCATGCAATTTAATTAATGACTACCGATTTAACTTTTGATCCATTAACTCAATATCCTAACCGGTTTGATGACCGGTCCAAATTTTAAAACTATGATTTAATGTACCTTTTTTTGGGTTTCAACGTCAACTCAAACACACTGTCACTCAATCAACTTTTTTTTATTTCTTTTTAATTAAAAATTAAGTGACAAAAAATTGTCTTTTTCTCACTAGCACTAATAATAAAAGAAATTCTCCCATTATGTATGCATATTGTTCTCATAACTACATATTAAATTAGTTTTTCTCTCTACTATTTTCTTTTTATTTAGTTTGAAAAAGAATTTACTTGTCATAAATTTCACTTTTCAAAATTATTCAAAACTTACCCTTGCAATTATAACTACGTAAAAATTGCTTGATTGTTTACCGCTCACTTTTATCTTTAAAGAAATAAATGGTGACAAATCATATCGTTTTTATCCTAGTAATAATAAGACTATACCATCATTAGTGCACACATTCTCAACTAATCCATCCTTCAATTATTAATTACTCACTATGTTTTAAACAAAAATCATCGAGGCACCAACAGCCTCTTTTGCACTAATAGCTTAATTAGGAATAATTAATTGATATAATTAATTGACGGATGATGTTTTTACTTATTAAAAAAATCTACCTAGTTTTTGAATAATTTATAATAAGGAAAAAATTTGTTTATTTTAATAATAAGTGTATTTAAATTTATTTCGTTCAATAACTTATGTTCTATATTATTTTTTTAATGATCCAATCGTTGAATTTAAAGTTCTTAATGTATAGATCAAATATGCAATTTTTTCAAAAAAATTTGAAAACTATTTCATACTTTGTTTCATTAATCCAAATTAACGTATAAAATAATTTTATGATTGTTTGTCAATTTAAATTAAGAAAATGAAATATTAAAAAGTTTTTAAATTTTTTAAAAATTTACAAACTTGATTTATACATTAAAAATTTTAAATTTAACAATTTGATCATTAAAATTTTATGTAGAACATGAGTTATTAAACATAAAAATTTAAATAAACCTAATATAAAGTATCAATATAAAGTCAGTTATTTTAAACTTTATTTTTTTCAAAATCAAATTATAAACTTGCACTTCTTAATTAAATTATTTTGACCACTATGAACTTCTTTGTAATATTCCACCACTTTTTATCATTTCACCATTATTGATATTTTTTTTTCATTATACATTAGTCTCTAAAGATAACTTACATACGGACATATTAGTAATAAAAAAACAAATTCAAGACTCACAAATATACAAATAATAAATTGGATCTACTTCAACTATTTGGGCAAAAATTTCTCTTACAATTAATGATGCCATTAGATAAAAATAGCAAAAGGAAGTAATTTCCATTCTTAATTGTTTTCTTCTCTTTTTCGTTGTATAAACTTTTCCTCCAACTTTTTCATTGTTGTTGCTTCGTTGGATAGAGAAGCAAAATGTACAATAAAAAAACCTCTAGATAGCTTCCACAAAAAAACTATCCCCCAAAACATCATTTGTTGTAACTTAAACAATTAATTATATTTATCTAAATACAATAAAATTTATTTTTAAAAGCGATTGTATTTCAAACATCCGTGAAAACGGATACATGTGGTATTTACTAGTTATTATTGTTAAAAATTTATGAATACTCATTTTTTACATCTTTTAATTTGGTTAAATATTAAATTAAGATACTTCATTTTTTCTTTGCCTTTCATTTTAATTTGAGTAAATTGTACTGAATTTTTTTAAGAAAATCGTACATATATATCTTATGTTTTCAATCTTTACAATAAACTACAATTTTTAAATATCATATATTAATTACTTTAATTATCTTTGAAAAAAATACTAATATTTTAACCAAATAATCAAATTTTCACTTAACTTTTTATTTATATTTACTTATTTTTTTTATTTTTATCAATTTTATTTCTCACCTATTTCTTTTCTAATTATTTAAAACATAAAAGTCGTAAATGAACGGAAACGCCCAATATTCTGTGAAATCACATCATTAATGAAAAACAAGAACAAGAAAAGAAGCAAAAACGTCACGAAAACCTAAATCACCGCCGGCTGCGGCACCGTCAATATCATTCAACCGGCGAAACTAAAAGCAAGCATGTTTGACACTACTATACTCTACGCTACCTATTACCTATTACCTATTACCGATATAATATCGTGAAGTAGAAAGTAAAGAAAGCTTCTAAAATAAGCATAAAGCGTAAAAGAGTTACCGGTTGAATTCCCAGGCACCGATATCCCTACCGATGAGGAACGCGCAGTGAGCATCAACCGTCGCGTAAGCAACTTGATCGTTGCTAAGATATTTATCATACCAATCGCTCATGCTGACGTCACTCCATTGCGTCACTCGGTAACCGAGCCGCTTCTCTACGATCTCCTCCACCGAAGCCTGAGACAGGCCGCGGAAGCAATGCCTCAGATCCAGAGGATCTCTCCGCATCTCCAAGCGGTGCTTCGACTCCTCAAGCTTCCGCCGATCGGAGTGGTTCCAGAATCCGACGAAGGTGTGCGAAGGATCGTTTAGGAAAGTGCGGAGGCTCTCCGGCACTCCGTCGGCGCGAGTGAGTTGGAAGATGAGGCAGCGGCGCCCGACGCAGAGCTGCAGCGTGTCCGGCGGAGGATCGTAGGCGCCGGGAGTCCACTGGACGCCGAGGCCGACGACGAGGCGGTCGTGGTAGACGAAGTGGCGGCTGAAGTGGAGCGTGGAGGAGAGCCAGCGCTTGACGACGGAGGAGCTAGGCGTGACGGTGACGGTTATGTAGGTTCCGGCGAGGTCGACGGTGTAGACGTCGTGGTTGTAACGGTCGTCTCGGTAGAGGACTGAGGCCATGTTTTAGGTAGCGTGTGAGGGAAGGAAATCACTGCTAAGAGGATTTTACGGTGCTTTTGGTGTGTACACTGTCCACTATCCTGAGCAGTTAAGAGTGCGATGCGTTTCGGAAATTGTACTGTACGAATGGATCGACCTTTTTTGTTATTTTTTTATTTTGAAATAATACGTTTTTATTAACGAAATTATAGTGTAATTTTGAATATTTTATTATGGATAAAATATGTTTTTATTCTTAAAAATATTTTAAAATATTATTTTCATTTTTATAAAAAATATTTTTTTAGTCGTTGATGAAAAATTAAAATTACATTAGTTTTTGCAAATATAAAAATTAAAAACATTAAATTTTTAATTAAAATTAAAACTAATGTTTTTGTAATATGTTATCAAATTTGTTATTCATTATTATAAAAGTATACTCTTTATTATAGTTCCATGTTGTTTATGTTTCTCACATATGCTCTAATAAATACATAAGGATCTGATATGCATAATAGATAATATACACTCTAATAGATATTTAAGGCTCTAATTTGCAATATATGGTCTGTTATGTAAAAATTGTAACACCCAGTTTTTAATTATTTATTTTTATTATTATTATTTATTTTTATTTATTTATTTATTTTTTTAAAAGGGTATTTTGGTACTTGGAACGGGTTGTTCCAAAATTGGAACGGTCGTTCCAAGCATTGAAAATGAATTATTTTTATTGTAACAGAATGGGTCATTCCCAATTGGAACGGGCCGTTTCAAAGTAATAAAAAGGCCCATTTTTGTTTTTCCAGAAAGGGCCGTTCCCAAAGGGAAACGGGCCGTTCTGAAAGTTTAAAAATGCCTAAAAGAATTTTGTTAGAACGGGTCGTTTCAATTATAGTCAATATGTGTAAAAATGGAAGTCAGAATGCCTATAAATAGGAGGCAGGGGGTGAAAATTTTATACTGGAGTGAGAAGTGAAATCTTAGAGAGAGAAAGAGGAAGAGAGAGAGAGAGAGAAAGAGAAAGAAAGAGAGGGAGAAAGGAAGAGAGAATCCAGAGGAGGAGGCTCTGCCCAAGTTTCAACTCCGCTTATCCAGGTAAGGGGGGGAGTGAGAAACCTCGCTCAGAGATGTGGGGATAATTGTTGGATAGTTTGTTTGTCGGATTGACCCCCAATCCCTTGTCGTTGTTCTATTTTATTTTATGTTTGCTCTGCTCTGTTCCTTGTTGGAAATAATAAATGATTATGTAACCCTAATCCCTTGCCGTTGTTCTGTTTATTTTCTGTCTGCTTTATTTTGGTTCTTTGTTGGAAGTAATAAATGAATATGGAATTAATGCTAAAATAAATAAGTTTTAATATGAAAAAGAATGTTCTCTGTGAATTCCTGTGTAGACCTTATGAGGAGTATTTATGACATGACCTTGTGAAATATGGATAAATGACACGAGACCTAAGAATGGACTATTGAGACAAGCTGTGATTTGTTTTCAAGAACCTATAATAGGTACAAATCTAAAAAATTCTTTATTGTTATTTATTATTTAATTATTGTTAAAATATTTAAATATATTTTTAGTTCTAGTAAAATAAACATTTTTATTTTAGTTCTTGTAACTTTTTTATCTTAAAAAAATTGAAATTATTATTTTAATCTTTATTATTATGTGACCCTTTTTAACTACTTATATTTACATTATAAAGTTATATAATGATATTCCCCACAAGTTCATAATTTTCTATGTTATTTTATCTGCATGTGACATTGTTAAATCAAAAAGACGGTCGTAGATTTTCTTAATTATAAAGTTTTAATGATAAGAAACACATACGTTTTTAGAGAAAAGTTTTTAAACCTTTCAATAAGATGAATGCATTAAGACAATTTGTTATCTTGACATGAGTGTTTAATAGACAAAATATTTCATCAATAAGGCATTCACTCTAAATTAATATTTATGAGTTTATAATTTCTTAGAAAAGACTTACAGTCAAATGTTTCAAAATGTAATATCACTAACAAAATTACGTAATAGTTTTAATTTAGACCATATGTATTTTTCATTAATGACAATTTTGTTTGAATCTCCAAGGACCAATATGGACAACAAAACTATTTTAAATATTTAATATAATTACATATTTAGGATTCAAATTCAAAACCACCGATTAGACGGATACTACTATATATTTTGCAATACGGAAAAATATAATTAATTGCTTTAATGTAAATATCATTGTCTGAAGGGTTTTGCCCTTGAGCTGAAACCGAACACCTAAGCAAATATGTTTGTCATGTTATGTGCTTTTATTTATTATTTTCCATGCTTTGCCTCTATAATTCTCTGCTTTAGCTCCTTCAAGAGAGACAGAGGAAAGAATAACGCTGTTACACTGGAAAGTTTATTTTTATTTATGATGCATATATATGCTAATGTAGTAGCTGTTAAAATCTAAAAGCTTTTTCTAATAAAGCCTTATCAACTTGGTATGTGGCCTGCAAGACTAGCTTTTTCTAATAATAACTAAGGTTTAATCATTATTTATGGACTGGAGTGCAGATCTTACCCCGGATAAGGAGCCATTAGATTGGAACACCAGGATGAAAATAGCTGCTGGGGCAGCAAAAGGATTGGAATACCTTCAAAACAAAGTAAATCCTCCGGTCAATATTTATGGAGACTTCAAATCATCTAGTATATTACTTGATGAAGGTTATCATCCAAAACTTTCAGACTTTGGCCTGTTGGTAACAAAGCACATGTTTTCACCCATGTCATGAGAAATTATGGTTACTGTGCTCCGGAACATGCTATGATTGGACAGCTGACTTTGAGGTCTGACATATATAGTTTTGGGGTAGTCTTCCTGGAGCTGATTACTGGCCGCAAGGCCATTGACAACATCCGATCCCATGGAGAACAAAACCTTGTCACATGGGTAATCTTGTAGTCTTTATTAGTTTGGCATGCATTGCCTTATGCATATATAACCATGGAAGTGGTAATGGTGGTTTTATATGTTTGAGCCGGCACGTCCACTGTTCAACGACCGCAGGAAGTTTCCTAAGTTAGTAGATCCTTATTGTGTATTAATATTGGGGTAGAGGGTGTCACAAAAATGATCTAATATGTTTACTTTGATAGTATCTAAAATGAACGAGTGTGCTAATAGACATAATTGCTCAAATATAAATAATGTTATGATATGATTAATTAAATTAAAAAATACGTCAATATCCATATCTTAAATGAATGTATACATAGAATTAAATTGCTCGTATAATCTTATACACAATGTTTAAGAGATGTGCTATTATATTACTTTTATGATATTTTTAACGCTTCCACGTCTTAAAGAAAATTATATTTTAGATAAAAATGATTTTCTCGTATTAATATCTTTTCATTGAAATAAGAAAATATATATATATATATTTCATCTTAATCAACAAAAATATTTTCTAAGTCAAGAAAAACCTTAGTTTCAAAAACATGCTTGTTACCATCAAAAATGGAGGAATTATTAAGTCAAAATACGATCTTGGATCCCTCAAACTTTCAAATTCTAATGTTAACAAATAAAACATTGTTTAAGAGAAAATATTCTTGCAAAATACAAATCTGGTGAAATAAACGCAAATTATTATATAGACGATGTGTCATCAGACGAAGCATGTAATCTAACTTCATAAAGTCTTAAATGCATATCATTTATAATTACTAACGACTACTTGTATTGTGATTCTGATTGCAACAAACAACATATTATATTTAATATGTACCATTTAATATTATTGTATAGTTAATTTTATCTACAATATATTAAATATAGTATATACTTTAACAACTTGGAAGCTTTACTATTTTCCAAAGTTTAAAAGAATTAATTGATACAAAAATATTTTGAAATTAAAATATATAGTTGTTCCGGCCAAAGGGTGGATTAGGGTTTTTTCCTAGATCGTGCCTTAGAGCCAGAGCATTCAAAAGTGTAATCTGTCTTCTCAACTCTAGGTTTTTTCTTTTATAGTTTCTTGTTTACGGGCTTTATGGGCCCCGAGAATGTAGGAATTTCCTTAACCGTTTTGATCTGGTTAATATTTGGTGAGGGACAGTGGGACCTTGCCCTTGCTATCGGGTAGTCCCTGTATGCGAGAGTTGTGTCGGCCCCCGACCGACCATGCCCGTACTGAGGGTACAGTCGGGTATTGGCCGAGTTGGTTCTTGTAAGCGGAAGGAATCGGAAATATACCGACCAGGTTAAGTAGAGAAACCAAGTCGAATAATAACTGAACCACTCTTAGAGGGCAGATCGGCGAGAGCTACAGTCGGCCTGGCATATCGGCGAGAGCTACAGTCGGCCTGACATATCGGCGAGAGCTACAGTCGGCCTGACATACATAGTAGGCAGGTCGGAATTCGACCTGGACCGTACACTAGCCCTCCAGCGCTGAGCCTATAAGGCGGAAGGGCTTTGCTAGATAGGGAGTCGGCTTAGCCATGGCTGACATGTCCCTCGTGGAGGCCCCTAGTCGGATTTCGTCCTGGACCGTACAATAGTAATTAGTTGGTTTTTATTTATATGTTCCAACATTGTGAGTAGATCTATTTATTTATACATTTATTTTTGTCATTACTTTTTGTATGAGATAAATTTAATTTATTTAGATTAATTATTATAATGCTAATAATCATGAGTTTTACTTTTAAATATGTAACTACTTTCAATATTTAGACAGAAAATTTTGACGCTCATTATAAGTTCATATGACTCAAACATGATTACCTCACATAAAAAATAAAAATAAAATCTCTTTTCTTTAGCAAAACGTTACAATGATAGACTTTCTTTTTGTAAACTTATCCATGATTAATAACTTTATTTTGTTAGGTTACATTTTTCACTATTCTTTTTAACTTCTATATTAATCAGTTTGAATACTTCCTACGTTATTGAAATCTTAAATTCATGAATCATATTTTAACAAGTTACATTTATTTGCTGAAGAGTTAAAATAAATTTACATGCATTATTGGTTCCTACGTTATTGAAATCTTAAATTCATGAATCATATTTTAACAAGTTACATTTATTTGTTGAAGAGTTAAAAAGAATTTTATGCATTATTGGTGCCTATAAATTGATGCTTATTCTCCTTGAAACACTTTAAAAATAATTTAATATTTATACAAAACTTTAACATTATTTGTAAAGACTTAAAAGAAAACATTATGACAAAGAATGAGATGAAAACTAAAGGGATTATGATTATGATAATGATTATATTGAGTTTTGCATATGCAAATCACAATATTTCATTTATGCGATATCATCCACAAGATTATAAAACCTTTTTATGTGAATTTAAATGTAGTTTTAAATGTGATTTTTCCCCAACAATTTCATCTGCATATACAGATTGTCTTGATAATTGTAGTAAAAAATGTTATAATAACACAAATATTGTTTATGATTGTACCGCTAGTTGTGACTTGATTAAGTCCATCAATATCAACCCTATAAACATTGGCTTGATCAAGTCCATCAACGTCAACCCTATGAACATTGACTTGATCAAATCCATCAATGTCAAGTCTATGAACATCAATAGAGGTATTTATATTTTTACAATATTAATTAATTTAAATATTTTATAATTATTTTCTATAATTGAGTTAATTATGTTTTGACAATTGACTTTATTTACCAGATACTCATGACCTTTTAACTTCCAAGGTGGATTCTTGTTTGGAAAAGTGTCTAAAGAAGCAATAATGTATTACAAAAATGCAATAATGTATTATAAAAATGCAATAATGTATTATAAAAATGTTAAAAAGAAAAGGTTAAGTGAAATAATATTCGTACTTAATTGTAAAAAAAATATAGTGAATAATAAGTGACATTTATTATTCGTAAATCTTTTTTTTTTCTTCTAATTATTTATCTTCATTTTTCTTATGTTTCTTTTACAATTATATTAGCAAATCTACTAACAGATCAAAATAACGATGACACTAATATGTTATTATAGCCAAATGAAGTATATATGTGAAAAAAATAAAAATGAGCGACATATCTAAAGCTAGAGGAAAATTTGTATGAGATTGACTATACACGACATAAAACAAACTAATTGAATTTTCGTGAATGTTGGTCCTTAGGAAAGTGTACTAAAAAACAATAGCAATCAACAATGAGTAAGATTATTGTATCACATGGACTTGATTGTTATTTGATTGATCAACAATTATCTTAAATAAGTTAACCGGTTAACTATTTACAATGATTTGCATATACTTTCCATTTAAAGAGTTCATAAATTTATTGAAATACAACTAAAAGATAGAACTGTAAATACTATGAATAAAGCTTAATAATTAAGAGAATTCAACAATCAAATAGGGTTTGGATTTCATCTAACACCACTCCTATGTAAGTTCAATATTCATACATATATGTATATAATTTAACTTCCACGATGTCATCAAATTAGTAATTCTTTAATTAACAAAAGAGATCTCGAGTTTTTTTTTTTTTCCTAAACATGAATTCATTGTGTATAGATTCGACAGATCACTACAAAGGTATAAACAACATAAATGCAAGTAACTCATCTACCCTAAAATGATCGCACATAATAGCTCCAAGGCATATACAGAATATAAATTATAATTGAGAACTCGTGAAACTTTATATACAACAGTTATCCAAAAAGGAAAGTCCCTTAAGTAACGTTAACAAAACATCACCTTACGGGGTTACATATCTCAAATATAACAAATATGCATTAAACAAAATATGTAAACATCCTATAGCCGATATATCTATGTACAACTTTAGAGAAATTATATGTTATCAACAACCATCCGAAACTATGACATCTCACTGCCCCCAGCTGCATTCCATCCTTATGATAGTAACCATATCAAAATGTAAGAAGGGTACAACAAGGGAAAGTACCCTTAATGTGTTTGATTAATTGCAAGCAATGTCAAAATTTATTTTCTTAATTTTTTTTTTTATTTCTGGGGCTACATGAATAATATCATATAAATCCAAAGAATATAATATTCTTGCGTACTTTCTTTTATTGCTATTGCTGCTGAGTTCTCATATTTTACTTTTCTTTATTTTTTCCATTCTATAATGCTGTATAAAAAAAATAAAATTCAACAGATTTTTTTACTTATTCTGAATTTACTGCCAAACTCAAGATTAGACCATAAAAATAATGTAGTTTGTTTAGATTAATTTTCAATGCCGTCAAAGTAAATTATACGTTTAATTATCCTTTTAATTTATATAATTTGATCAGTTTTTTTTAGTCTTTATATTACTTTAATTTTTATAATATCAATTTTTTCCGTTTAATTCTAATCACCTATTATTATCATGATTAAAGGATAAAATTTATAAAATTATAAATATATATATATATATATATGTTTCGACTATTTTACGTAATGGGCTGCTGTGTTTCATAATTGATTTAATCGATTAAAATCAAAATTAATTTTAAAAAACTTTTTTAATCTTTGTTGCTTTTTATTTCTTTTATCTTTTAGTTAATTTTAATTATTTCTATTTCTTAAATGTTTTATCTTTTACATATTTTTTCATCCTACCAACCGTTGTACATAATGGGTGGTGGATTTGTGTAAATAAGAATGAGTCTTGTGAGCTTGTTGTAGTTCAAATTTGTTAATTTTCCTCTCCCAATTAATTAAGGAAACTTTATCAATGACCATTTTTCATGTTTCACATAACACCAACATATATTTTTCTTCTCGATCAACTAAAATTTTAATTTATTTTTATTCACCTATTTTCTTAATTTCTATTTTTGTCTTCATTAATTAGTTCAATTCTTTTTAAATACTACTTTATGTTCTCTAATTCTTTTTTCTTTCATCCAAAATTCCAATCGGTTGTAAGGTTAATCCCCTCCCATTCAAGGAAAATAAACTATTAGGCAAGTGAAACAATTATTTTCCAATACCCTATTTCAACATCTAGCACCTCTTTTATTGCTTTTTTATTTTATTTTTAGATAAGGGTATTTCTCTATATAAGAATATTTATTTAATAGTAACCTCTTCTTTCAAACACTATATTGGGACACAACAAAAATAACATAATGTTTGTTATACTGCTATCTAGTCTTTATGGGTGATTCGAGTTTTTATAAGTCATTTTTAAGATAAGATTAATGTTATCATCTTTCTTTTCTTTTTTTATTTCCTTGTTTTAGAATAATTTATTATCCTTATTGTCGTGTAAAATGTACTTCTTATTTTGTAGTACATGAGGTTTATTGAATAAAATATTCCAAGATTACCGCCTTTCTATTATTTCTAGTTTATAAATGCAAGAAAGCCATTAAAAAGGAGAAGATGGTTCTTTTTAGTATTAATATCAGAAATCAAATAGTTTAAGCATAAGCCTGTGCAAGAATCAATAACCAACGTTTTTTTTTATTATTTTAAAACCACATCACATAACTCAATACTCAGCTTAAAACAGAAGAAAATAAAGTGAAATAAAAGAAAAGAAAACAAGATGAGTGAAAATGAAATAATTTTATAATTTTGTAGGAGAGAAAGTGAAAGTCCAGAAAACTATAAACTTTCTCTTCTCTTATTTCTTCACTTATTTGATCGAACAGAAAATGAGAAGAAAGAAAAAGAATAGATGTAAATGCCTTTTTTTTTTATTACAAGATGTAAATGCCTTTAATACCCTTAAACAATAATAAAGAAAAATAAAAAAATTAATTATAAAATACTTTAATTATTAAAAAAAACAATGGATCAATTAAAAAATAGTAATAAATAAAAAAAATTATCGCTTAAAATAAAATAAAAAATTGTAATAAAAATTAATTTGAGGATATTTTATTTTTGTCTTTTAATTCAAATCTACACTTTCTCACTCCTTTTCTTTCTAAATAAGATAGAAACAAAAATTAATGTGAGACTTTCTTTCCTTCCTTATTTAAATACAAACCATACAAAGAAAATCTCTTTCTTTCTTTCTTTTCCTTTCTTTTCATTTTCATCTGAATCAAACAAAGCCATAGTCTAAAGAAAGAGAAAGCACTATTTGTATATTGTTGCAATTCTAATGCGTGCCACTGATCCCTACATATTTTCTATAAAGGAACCGTCCGCATACCTCTTTCAGGCTTCAGCATGCAAATTTCCTTCATTTCATAATTTCAAAACACATTTTCGATATTTTCCATTTTTTATTCACTAAGTAAAAATTCGCTGATTTTCATATAAACCAAATTATTGAAATTAATTAGGTTACTAAGTTCTCACTTTCTGGTGCTAAAAAATAAAAATCACTTTTGGAAATACCAGTAATATTAAACTGCCTAATCATCATCGAACCGTGAGCTTCAGAACGAAACAAATGAAGCAAACAAACACGCCGGCAGCTTCAGATTCACTAAGACCACAATCACTCTCGTCACCGTCAATACCAGTCAACCGGTGAAATTCAAGAGTAAGACTCCACTAGTACTATACACAACCCTAACTAACTCATATATCATGATTCATGAATTACAAAAAAAGAAGAAGAAGATAATTCTGAATAAGCACTAGCATGCATGAAAAGAGTTATACTATACCTCTTGAATCTGGAGTTTCCAAAGCCTACTATTCCTACCGATGAGGAACGCACAGTGAGCATCAACGGTGGCGTAAACAACTTGATCGTGGCTGAGATATTTACGATCCCAATCGCTCATGCTGATCTCACTTCTTTGCTCCACTTCATAATCGAGGCATTTCTCTATGATCACCTCCACCGAAGCACGAGCGAGGCTTTCATCATCATCGTCATCTACAGTTTCCGCCCAAAGCCTCAGATCCAGAGGATCTCTCCACATCTCCAAACAGTGTTCCGAGGACTCCAGCTTCCGCCGATCGGAATGGTTCCAGAATCCGACGAAGGTGTGGAAAGGATGATTCAGGAAGGTGCGGAGGCACGTCGGCACGTGGTCGGCGCGAGCGAGCTGGAAGACGAGGCAGCGGCGGCCGATGCAGAGCTGCAGCGTGTCCGCCGGAGGATTTGAGCCGCCGGGAGTCCACTGCACGCCGAGGCCGACGACGAGGCGGTTGAGGTAGGCGTAGCGGCGGCGGAAGTAGAGCGTGGAGGAGAGCCAGCGCTTGACGACGGAGGCGCTGGCAGTGACGGTGACGGTGACGTGGACTCCGTGGATGTGGACGGTGTAGAGGTGGTGCTTGAAACGGCGGACGTGGTGGATGATGGTGGCCATGGTGGCCATGGCATGGAAGCGTGTGAGGGAAGAAATGGAAGTGACTTATGGGAGGATTTTACAGTGCCATTTGCTCTCTGCACAATGCTCAGCGGTTATGAGTGGAGACTGTGGAGGTCTTCCCACTTCCCACTACGCCACTACCCACTATGCGTACCAACACCTAACTCACTTTTTTTTTTTTTTTTTTTTTTAATGAATAACACCTAATTGAAATACTATTAAAAAAAATAGTATACTTTAATCGAAACTTTCAACGTAATTAATAATTACTTGTATAAAAAAACACTATGTGCCATGGAATAAATAAAAATTAAGTCAATTAAAATTAAATAATTTTTTATAGTTGATAATTAAAAGGTTTCAATGATTTTTGATTAACCATAGTAGAATTTTTTTGGTGTAATTTTTTAATTTTGGTGTAAATTAACCATAGCAGATAAACTTAGATATAATATAAACGTTATAAAAAAATTGTGTACATTAAAAAGAAATATATCTTTTTATTATTAATTTAGAAGTTTAGATACTTCAAGTTTAATTTTATCGTCTAATTTAAAATTAAGATTTTGATTATAATTTCTTAATAATATTAAATTTTTTTACTATTATTATCATCTGATTATAAATTGACATTATATATAATCAGATTATTATTTCTATAATAATTATTTTAAAAAGTATATATTATGTGGTTTTTAATTATTTATTTTATACTGTAATAATTTAATTCATAATCAATGTCAAGTACCATCAGAAAGTTTTCCTGCTCTTACACCCCGCTAAAAAAAAGATATACGGATATTTTTGTGAAATAAAAAAAATTATATATTTGAAACCTTTTAATTTGATTGATAAAAAAGTATTTTAGCGATGATTTGAACATTGATTTTTTTTTTTTTACAATTATTCACATTTGAGGATTCTTAAAAGTGTTGTTTTCAAAAATACAAAAAAAAGTTTTATCAACAAAATAATGCTTTAAATATTAAACCTATTTTTAGATTTGATTTCCATTTTCATTTTTCTCTATAGTTATTAAAAAATTATAAAATTCATCAATTTAATTAACAATATTTTATTAATAATGGGTCACCTATTTTTTTATTTTATATTTACTAGTGAAAAAGATGTATTTTGTACCCTTATGAATTTAGTTTAAGATAAAATAAAATAACAAAAGTTACAAAATGTAAATTATTTAATTAATCAACACAAGAAAAGATCACACAGACATATAATAAACCATTATTAAATTACACTCCCTCTTCACTTATATATATCTTCCCTTATATATAAGTAAAAATAATTAATATTACACAAATTAAGAAAGATAATTAAATATATTTGATTTTTAAAATTTCATATAAAATATGTTAAATTTATTAAACTATTTTTAATCACACTCATTATAAACAATATTTTATTTTTTTGTCTTAGAAATATTTTTAGGTTAAGAGCGTTAAATAAAATTGATTTAGTTAAATTTTACTTGATTAAAATTCATTTATACTTAAATTTTAAAAAATTAAGTACCTATTTACTTATATGTATAAAAGTTTTAAGAGAGTATTAAACAATTTTTTTCAATCTCATTGACTATACTGTTCATATTGTCTTCAAAAGAGGTTTTCAAGAACCTATAATAGGTACAAATCTAAAAAATTCTTTATTGTTATTTATTATTTAATTATTGTTAAAATATTTAAATATATTTTTAGTTCTAGTAAAATAAACATTTTTATTTTAGTTCTTGTAACTTTTTTATCTTAAAAAAATTGAAATTATTATTTTAATCTTTATTATTATGTGACCCTTTTTAACTACTTATATTTACATTATAAAGTTATATAATGATATTCCCCACAAGTTCATAATTTTCTATGTTATTTTATCTGCATGTGACATTGTTAAATCAAAAAGACGGTCGTAGATTTTCTTAATTATAAAGTTTTAATGATAAGAAACACATACGTTTTTAGAGAAAAGTTTTTAAACCTTTCAATAAGATGAATGCATTAAGACAATTTGTTATCTTGACATGAGTGTTTAATAGACAAAATATTTCATCAATAAGGCATTCACTCTAAATTAATATTTATGATGTTTGATAACTAAATCAATCTTTGTGCATATCATTCCTTAACAAATAGAAGCAAAATAACTTCCTTGGTAGCCACAATGACAAAAGAAACAAAGAACCATGCTTTTTGTCATAAAAGACAAACTAATCCCTTAAATCACAAAAATCCCCAGAAAAAACTATTTTTAACCATCACACACATGATTCCACTTTTTCGATACCTATAAGGAAAAGAAAATTAAAGACAAACAAAGTAAGCCTATGAGAGATGCTCTAGAATTTACAATGGTCATTTTCATTGAAGCCTTAAGGAAATTTGAAATCCAAAAATAAGAGAGAGAAAACATATTGTAAAACTATATTCATTCTTTTTGTGAAAAGTTATATACTTAATTGGTTGTATATGTCTTCATAATAAGACGAAACAACATTGTTAATTTATCTAGCTTTAACTTTGTATTATCACTTTAAGCCTGAAGAAGTTTGAAATGTAAAAGAATACTTGTTTGCTTTGAGCCTAAAGAGACTTGACTAAAAGAATACTTGATAGTTTAAAGCCTGAAGAGATTTTGTGTTAAATAATATTTGAGTAGTTGCTTGAAGAGGCACAACAAAAAATATTTGGGTTGAACCATAAGTGACTTGTAAAAAAATACTTGTATCTTTGCAAAAATAATGAAACTAGATCGAATTTGATCAAGAATTAAATGTAGTTTAGGGTTAAAAAAGATACAAAGACAAACTAGTATAAAAATACTTTATTCTTTTGATCAACTCTTCATCTACACTCCTACAACTATTCATACTACTTCACTAATTTAAAAAAAAAAAAAAAAATTTTGATAGACACTATTCAACTTCATTTTAGTGTCATTCTTTTTTTCACAAACATTTCTATTTTTTTTATATAAATCCTTGAAATAAGATTTTTATATATATACCTTTAAATGATTATTAGAGAAAAATAAAACAATAATGACTTTAAATTTGATGGGACATTTAGTACAATTTTTTTTTACTTTCTTATCAATATGTCAAGAATGCTAGTTTCTCACATTTAATTTATTATTTAAAAAATGACATTCATAGACACATTGTTTCTTAGGTATGATTTTTTCATAGGTTTCCCATGAAAATATTTTCGTGGAGGGTGTGAGAAACTAATTTTTTGAAGTAAAAATAAAATTTTAATGTAGTAAAAATGTTATGTTACCTTTACTTTCTTATTTAATACAATAAAAATTCTTGATTCATAGATAATATTTAAAAATATTGTTAGAAATATTTATGAATAATCGAAGTGATTTTTATGATTCATAAGAATCATGATTTTTAGAATTTATGATCGGTATAAATCATAATTTTCATGTATAAAAGAAAATTATCATATACCAAACACTCCCTTAAAGTAATAGAAATTATATATATATATATATAT